ATTAAAGAGGAGGAACTAAAAGCAATCAATTCGCGTAGATAAACACTTACTTACACCACTCCTGCTGGCAAAGAACAGACTTGGCTTCCCAAATAAAAATGCAGAGAGTATAGCACATTTTGCAAGGCATGCAGGTTGACTTAGAGAGATTCATGTATGACTTTATAATGTTATAATTAATTTTGCATTCTCAGCTCTCCAGCTGCTGCTCCGTTCGGAAGCAGAGCTCATATACTTAGAAATCGGTCTGCGGAACCCAGGGATTGACTGTTCAGATGTAATCGCATGATATCGATTATTCCATAGAACTACTGAAATATGAATGTGTTTTATATAAAGCTCTTGGTTTTAGAGTTTCTATTTTTATTTAATATATGCGCATTAATCACCAAGCAGGGAAGCAAATGTCTTTTCTGTAATCTGTTGCACTGAGTTTACCAGTTGTTTATCACTCTCTTATCAGGAAGTCGGGAGTTAATGACAAGAAATACCTGTTGGTGTTAACCTCCTCCCCCTCACCTGCTTTTTTAAGGGTTGCCTCTTCCACAGGCCAGCTGATGGATCTGGAGAGGAATTAAGCCGGTATGTCTGGTGGCCAGATCTCTACTGCTGCGTGCAGGGGCAGGGGTAAACTGGTATGTGGGTTTCACGGAGGAGGAGGAGAGGAAGGGAAAGAAATAATAATAATGATTAAAAAAAAATCAGATAGAAAATGGACAGCTCGGATTGCTTCAGACAGCGTGCGCATCCCGATACTTGACGGTGGTTTCAGTACGGCGTTTTCCCCGCTGGCTCGGCGAGGCTATAGAAACGGCTTCTCGAAGTGTATTTTTTTTATTAGCTGCATGTTTAATTGATTAACAATAGGCTGCCCGGCTCACCCGCAATCCTTCGGCTGTTGCCGTCTCTCCTGCTGTCGGTGAGGAGCCGATTCCCCAGCGTACCTCACCAATGCCTCTTCCCCAGCCAACCTAACTGAAATTACCTGAGCTATGCCATGAAGAGGTCGGCCGTAAACACGGCATAAGTGCCCACTCGCAGACCTCGGAAAAAATAAACCACACGGTTTGATGAACATTTTTTTTTTTTTTGGTAAGCGCCGAAACTATTATTTTTTTAATTTTTTTTTAATTATTTTTTTTTCTCCCCTACCTCCTCCCGGTCTGCTAAGCCGATGAAAGGCTCGCAGGTAACGGCGATGCCTTCCAACCCGGTGGGCCCGTCCCGACCCCCCCCTGCCTGACCCTACCCCCCCGGGGCGGCGGCGTTGCGGGCCGCAGGTGCGGAGCGGCCTAGCGCTCCTCCGTGGGGTTGGCAGGGCCCAACGCCTTTACCCCGGGGCTGAGGGGGGGTTGTGTGGGAAGCCCCCGGACCGCCTGGGGTGGGATTGGAGGGGGGGACACAGGGGACCGTCGGCTGCGCCGACCCACTCCGCGCCTCGTCGTGGGAGGCAAAGGCGGGAGTTCGGGTGCGGGCAGTTCAGCGCCGGTTTCTGAAGGGTCCGTCTGGACTAATCATTAAAAAGACGCGCACAGAAAAAGAAAAAAATAAGAGAGGAAAAAAAAAAAGAGGCGTTACGTGCCACATGCTTGCGTTTAGTGATGTTTGCACTGAGAAAAAAAGAGCGGTGGCTTCGTCCCGTCCTCCCGTAACCGGAGGGGAGCTGGTGGTGGCTAGATAGATGGCTGATGGTGGCCAGGGCCGAAGGGAGGGGGCAGAGGAAGAGATTACGTTATTTGGGAAATTAATTACACGGTGATGCTATTCCAGGAGAGATTTATCTGAACTGCAAAAGGGGGGGGGAGGCAGCTAGCCCCCCGGAAGGAGTCACCCAGGCCTCTTCCCCACGCACCACACCGGGAAGAATAAAAATGAAAGAAAGATGAGGAGATTTCTATTTCTTTTTTTTCCTTTTCTTTTCTCCCTTCATGTGCAAACGCGCTCCACGACCAGATCTTGACTACTTCACCAAACTCTCGCTGCCGGGAACAGCCCGATGCCGGCCGTGGGGATTTGAGAAATCTCTCTCTTTTCCAACCATCCAGGGCAGTACTTTTGCCAAAGTGCTTTTCCCTCGCACGCTGCCCACCCCACTTGCCCACCCTGCAAACGCACGCTCAGAGCCGTGCGTGAAAGCAGGGATGCATATATTTCGAATACATATTCTTTTCTGTTCCCTGGGTGTAAGAAAGAGGGGGGGGGGGGGGGAAGGGGGGGGGTGTAATGGAGAGTGTACGAAAGGGTATTTATGGCTCGGCGAGTCCGGAGAGGAGCTGATGAGCGGTCTCATCGCTTGGCTTCAGCAGTGTGCTCGCAGTCGGAGAGGCTGGCTTGCATTACAAAGCCTGCCTGCCTTCTTCCCTGCCTTCCCTGCCTTCCCTGCCTTCTTCCCTGCCTTCTTCCCTGCCTTCTTCCCTGCCTTCGCTGCCTGCCGGCCGCGGGAGGAGACGGGGCCGGAGCGGGAGGGGGCGGGCCCGGCGCTCTATGCAGATGAGCGGCGGTGACGGACAGCTCCGTTTTCCAATGTCCCTCAGAAACTCGAGCGCTCCTTCCCTCAACTCTTCACTCCAGACTCTATACTTCCCCCAAAATACAGGCTCGCAGGCGCTGGGGGAGCTGGCTGCCTGGCTGGGAGAAGAACTCCATATGCAGCAGCCACTTTTCTGATTTCGGGGGCTCGCTTCTCTCTCTCTCCCCCTCTCTCTCCCCTTCTGGTCCTTTCCCTTTCTCGCTCCCTTTCTCTTTTTATTAACCCTCTCCTCTTCCGCCTCTCCCAGATGCCCTTCCCCTCCCGGTTAGATTTCTGACCGCTCGATTTATTTTCCCTTTTGGGGGGGGTGTTGGTTCTTTTTTTTTTTTTTTTTTCCCTTTCTCCTTTCCCTCCTGTTTGTTTTTATTCTGAGCGGGCGCGCATGGGGGGGAGCATATAACAATTCTGATTCTCTACATAACTGCACAGAGCCAACCGGGGAGGGGGAGAGAGAGAGAGAGAGGGAGAGGGAGAGGAGGGAGGGAGGGCGGGAGAAGAGGGAGAGCACGAAAGCAGCGCCAGGAGCAGCGGCAGCA